AGCCTCCAAGGATCGAGGTACTAAGCAATCTCATCCAATGTCCTTGAATTTGTTTCATCTCGCACCTCTTGTCCTTCATTTGAATGTCGCTATATAGACCCACTAATTAATCTCTCTCTACATGAAACCTAGTACCTAATATCTCTGCCAATTCAAATTCTAACTGAGCGTGAGATCTTCATAGGAAAAAAAAACTCATATCTCTGCCAATTCAAATTCCAATTGAGCGTGAGATCTTCAGCCACAGATCGAGTCGCGTCTTTTACCGCCGCTTAACCTTCTCCTCAACCAGGGCACGGAAAAGATAGGATTCGGATCCTGCGTCAGTCCATGCCTTTGTGGCGGCGGGTACAGCAGCGGCGAGGTAAATGCGACCCTAGCTTACTGCGGCCGGAGTCCGTTCCACGTAACGTAGTAGTGGCCAGCGCACACAGCGATCCCCCCGCGTCGCGAGTAGTAGTAGATGGCGGCAGCTAAGGCCGATCGAGACCGGGGCAAAAAATAAACCGAAACGTGTTATCGCTGCCCCGCAACGAAACGCGGCCGCGGGCGGGGTCGGGGAGTACCGAGGACGGACGGGGGAGAAACGAAAGTGAACTCGGCGACGGGACGGCACGGGAAATCAAATCCGGAAAAGAAAAGTATAAGGGATGGCAGCGAACGAACGAGGGAGGCAGTGGGGAAGGTGGGAAGCGGCTGCCCAAAGCTACCCCCAGCCGCGTCTCCCCACCACCGCCAGGCCTTCTTCTACCCCCCACCCCGCCCCCTCCCGACGCCCAGACCACACCAGCGCAGCGCCCTCTCCTCGTTCGTAGCCGACTCCCACCACCTCACGCTCGCACGCGCTCCTTGGCGCCCTGTCGACTCGGGTCGAGCCTCGAGCCCGTGTCTCGGCCGATCGACAGCGACAGAGAGCGCAGCCGCGCGCCGACGAGAGCTTTGCTTTCGGTGTTGTATAACGACGACAGCAAGCGGTAGATAACAGCGCGATGTGCGACGTGGCGGTGGCTGCGGCGGCGGCGCAGCGGTACAGGGGCGTCCGGAAGCGGCCGGGGGGCCGGTTCGCGGCGGAGATCCGGGACCCGGCGAAGCGCGCGCGCGTCTGGCTCGGCACCTTCGACTCCGCCGAGGCCGCGGCGCGCGCCTACGACGTGGCCGCGCGGACCCTGCGCGGCCCGCTCGCCAGGACCAACTTCCCCGCGCTCACCGCCCGGCCCCTCGCGCCCGCGCCCACGTGCAGCTCCAGCTCCACCGTCGAGTCCTCCAGCGGGCCCCGCGCCGGGGTGCCCAGGGCGGCGGCGGCAGCGGTGCATCGCAGGCGTGCCGCTGCGAAGCCGCGGTCCCCGCGGCAGGCCGCGCCCGCCGACGCCGACTGCCACAGCGACTGCGCCTCGTCGGCCTCCGTCGTGGACGACGGCGACGACGCCTCCACGGTCCGGTCGCTCTCGTGCCCGCGCCCGACGCTCGACCTCAATCTCCCGGCGCCGCTCGACGTCGACGATGGCCACGACCTTGGGCTCTGCACGGACCTGCGGCTCTGAGCGATCGGATCCGCAGACGGGGCCAGCGTCGGCGGCGAAGGGAGAAGGCGGTTTTGCTTTGGTCTTCTTTTCTTGACCGGATTCTGCTTTGACCTGTCGTGCTCGTGAGAGAGCTTGTACCAGTACTGCCCTGTACTACGCGATACGAATGGCAATAGAAATGGATGATGATTCCTTTCCTGCGACGCTCTGCAGATTCATTCAGAGGTCAGTCAGATCGTCGAGAGTTTCAGCCCTTGTTTAGTTGGACCTCAAATTCTAAAAAGTTGCTACAGTACCTGTCACATCGAATGTTTGTGGCCCGTGAATAGAGCATTAAATGTAGCGAAAAAAAAACTAATTACACAATTTGGTGGGAAATTACGAGACGAACGTTTTAAGCCTAATTAGTCAATGATTAAACATTATTTACCAAATAAAAATAAACGTGCTGCAATAGCCCCAAAATCCAACTTTGGAGAACTAAACGCGCGCTCAGTTTTTTCCCCTCTTGTATTTGGATCTGATATTACGTCTTGCTGCCATTCTGTTTGTACTTTGTACACCAAAAAAACATCTAAGAGAGATGTTTGTATTGTACTTTGTACACCAAAAAAACATCTAATGAGAGATGTTCGCGAATTAACACGAATCTTTGCCGCAATTTTGAGGTATATTTTTGCTTGTTATTGTTGTCTTGCCAAGGGTAGAGGTAGACGCGATTTGGTTCGTCAGTTCATGCATGCCCTGTTCGCTTTCATACTTGCTTGTCTGTGTACGAGACCAAGGATTCAGTGTATCAACAACGTACTCTTTTTCAAAAGTTCTAGCGACAAAATCTGGGCCGGGATGCATTGTAACCGGACAAGTCAGACATTAGATCAACTGTTTTCATACAGGCTCCTCCGTTGTTTAGGCCATGTTTTGAGATTTCGATTGGCTACAAGTATATGCCAAGTCCTAATTGCCGTAAAATCATGCCTTACAGAGAGGAACCCATTACTCAGTTAGCATGGCAGTCTTTGGTTTAGATTTCAAAATCTGCAAAGCGGCAATAGTTTTTTTTTTCTTTTCTTTTTCCAAAAACATATAGTGCATCCCTGTAATTACGTATGCGTCATCCCTTGTTTTTAAGAGGATTGAGCGTATATACTTATCTTAATTGTGCATGTGAACATCGTTGACAAACTAAACCATCATATTCAGACTATGTCCCTAGAGGCGTACATGTGTTGGGTTAAAAACCCAAACATAAATGGGCAATTTTCATAATGAGGAGTCTCGACCAGAAAAAGCAATGCAATCCCTTTGAACACGAGGGTGTATAGCAGTCCCAAAAACTAATTTAGTGGGCTGCACGGGGTTGGTGTGGCATACTCCCTCCCTCATCTTTTAAGCGTTGATATGATATTTGTGTTGATCAAGTGTTTTTAAATTTTTTTTGACTATGTATGTAGAAAATATTAGCAATATTTGTATCTCTAAATAAATTTATTATGAAAATAGATTCAATGATATATTTAATGATATTAATTATGTATCATAAATATTAATATTTTTTATATATATTTAGTTAAAGTTGAGTATGTTTGTTTTTTCGGAAATTGAGAACGATAGTTAAAAGGAGACCAAGTGAGTATACCCTAGGCCTAACCTAATAAGGAGATGTTACTTAAAAAAAATTGCTATCCGAATATCAACCTATCTCGCCCATCTGTGATGGCTCTGCTTGCATTCCTGAGGATAAGTGCACCAGTCGTTGGCCGCTAGTGTTACATTCCCAACCGATGAACCCGTAAGCTGCAGCAGTGTCCTACCCACCGGTCACGTGGCCAAATCCTAGTGAGTCCATTCTCTTGCTTGCTCTTTCTTGCTTGTTTTGTTTTTCCCTAATCCTTATACCCTAAACTCTCTCCCTTAATCCCTCCAGTAGGCTAGTAGCAGCTTGGAGGACGCCAAGCTCTAGTGCCTGTCTTCTCTTCATGTTGCAACGAGTAGTGCAATCCGTGGAGGTAGAGTGATATGCAGGAGCAACAACCCAAGTACTCTATTTAAACCCTGACCTATATATTATGGTGATAGTAGCAAACAGATCAGTTTGTAACTTCAAAATACTCATATAGGTTGATGTAATATATATATGAATGCAATAGGAATTAAGAATTTATTTGGTTTATTATTCATGAATTATGTACCTTTGCTTATAATTTTATTATGTAGGCAATAGACTTCTCTTTTGGACTGAAGATTTATTATATTATTTAGTACTCATATTAGATCTATATCCATGGGCCACAGTAGGAGACAAAACAAATTAAATGCAATAAGAAAAAAACACACAATGACAAATCGTGATGGAAAATCAAACAAATTCTAATGTAAATCAAACGAAAAGGAGATTTATTTTCGTTGTGAAGCATAAGACTTCAAACAACTTTGTCAAAAAAAAAAAAGACATCAATGGCCGGGGGACAATTTGAATGGCATATTAGGCATGGAAGCGTCGTGCATTGTTGTAGTTGACATAAAATTTATTGCAGCAATTAAAATTTATGGCACTAAATATGTCTTTGATTTAAAGTTTTTGTGGTAAGAAATACAATGATGCAATCAAAGTTCAGTTTGGACGATCTTTTTTTTTTGAAAATTATAATTTGGTTGTAGTTTTGTTATGCAAGCAATGGACTTCTTTATCAGATGGAAGAGTTATTATGCTATTTAGTAATTAAATATATCAAATTACGTGCCAAAATTTACGATTTTATCAAATACATAAGTGGATTTTTCTCAAAATTTACATGAAAAACTAGGATGATAAGTATATCCCATGGAAAAATTCTAGATCAACCACAAGTTAATCCCACAAATTATGTTTGGCCCTCAAGCGAATAGACTTTCTACTCTTCCAGATATGCAATCTACAGCTTCACATTCAAATTCTGCGACATCCAATCCATCAGGAGTGAATCAGGACCAAGAGCAAATGTCCTTGGACTGGGACAACGAACATCACAAGTGAATGAGGACCAAGAGCAAATGTCCTTGGACTAGGACTATGAAGGACACATCGATTGTCGTTTTCGTATTGGTGTTTCACGAGTTTGGCACGATCTTTCAAATTTCAAATACCAATTCCTCTTCTTTTTCTTGTATACCCCGTCGGATCCATCTTGTTTGCCCGTTTCCCGAGGCTCCGCTCCTGGCCAGTGGGCCCTATCGGCCATCGCGCTCCCAACCAGAGTCTCCTCGCTCGACCTCGCCCTCCTCACCTCAAGGGGCGGCGCCCGTTCGTTGCGTATTCCGCAAGCTGGTCGGCCTCCCTCCCTCCGCCGTGGGAGGGGAAAGCGGAGAAGAGGAGCCAAGCGGTTAAAGCCAGCTCGGCCGCTCGCCTCCGCCCCCCGCCCCCCAAATACTCGAATCCCCACCCAAGGAACACCCCGGAAAAGGCGTGAAGCGCCCGAGGTCGGGGGACGGGGGCCGATGGTGGTGCGGCGGCTGGGCGGCGCGGGGCGCGCGCTGCTCACGCTCCCCAACATCCGGAGGCGGGCGTCCAACTCCTGGGCCGCCGTCTGTGATACCTTCTTCTCCACCAAGGTGACGACTGGCGACCTAGCCCCCCTCCCTAATGCAGTGCGATCTTGCTTGATTCGCTGACGCGTGCGCGTGCGCTCTTCCGATGGCTCGCAGCAAGTGTTCGAGAACCACCGCATCGTCTTCACCGTCGGCACCTCCATCGCCTCCGTCCTCACGGCTTGGGCCGGTACGCTCCTCCCTGCTCTGGCAGATCAGCTGTTGCTCTAGATTTCATTATTGACCATGGTTTGGTGGGTGATGTGTGAATAATCAACGGTCTGGAAGTTCAGCCTGATTCATCAGGCTGGGTTTCCCAGTCACTTTAGGCTGTAGTTGTGGGAGGTACTGCTGCAACCGTGCAGCTTATGTGCTGCTACAGATTTGTTACGCATAGTGATTGACTTTGATAGGGGTTAAGGAATGACTAGATTGGAACTGTACAGCAATGGTTTCTGCAGTGTCCAGTGTGTCTGGGATGGAAGCTTGGAGTTTGTATCCCATTTTCTTAGGACCATATGAGTTAGGCTTTGGAAAAACATAGTTTACCTTAGGTGTTCGATTGTTTGCTGATTCCCCAATTTAATTTGCATGAAGTGATTGTTCTAAACTCATTTTGATCAGGCCAATTATATTTTGTTAAATTTGAAGTCACATTCACTTGTGTTTCCAGCTGGTAGTTTCTCGTCATGTACAACAGTTTGGATTAACAGAGAATAATGTGACTAATGTCCATTTTTTAATTAAGCATTTGTAATGTACTGAATGTTTACTTATGTTTCTTAGAATATCTTCATTGGATGGATTCACAATATTTACAATGTGAATTGTCTCACTATAGGCTATTCACTTCGCCAGGTGCATCAATCAAGGATTGAAAGGAGGCTTGAGTCAATTGAATCATCTGTAAGTAATTTAGAAGAAATACTGTTTTCTTTGATGAAGCGAGCTGTTCTCTCCTTTGGGCTCTGTTTATAATCTGGTAACCCCAGCAGGTGGTGTGAGCATTAAGATGCTGTAGTGTAATCTCTTAGCCTCTGACAAAAAAAAAGGAAAAAATACAGGTTTTCTTAAACATGCAGGAGTGTTGTGTCTTTTAGTCAAAAAGAGATAACTGGTCTGAAAACACACACTTTGAAACACAAACTCTCACACAAAAGCACTGACACACAAACGCACACCCCCAGACAGAGAGTAAGATCACCACACAGAAGAAATACTGTCAAAGCTTTTTTAGTTACTCTTTGAACACAGAGTTGTATCCTTTACACCTGTTTCTGTTTGGGCCATTCTCATTTCTCACTTCTCAGCTTGACCTACATATGCAAAGCTGACAGCAAATCAAGTTTGGACTGTTCCACTGTAGGCTTAAAATTTGAGGGCATATGAGATTAAAAACATGTGTGTGGTGCTATTTTGTTTCCTGAGCAACATTTTTTGGTTTAAACAAACATGCAGGAAAACCGCCTATTATATTACAAGGAAAATTAGTTTGGGGGACTTTTTTTTTTCTGATTTTCTGCAGTAGGATGCTGTTAATTTTCCCCTTGTCTGTAGGACACTAGTGACAAGAAGTTTTTGCGTGTGTCCTATAGGCAGGGCACATTTGTTCTTGTCCTGTAGACAAAATTTCCATATTAGAAAGAAAGAGCAAAAATGTCCTGTAGACAAATTTCCCATACTAGAAAGGAAGAGCAAAACACTGTCTCTGAAGGGGAACTACCACAGATTACAATACCACCTAGTATTCCAAAAGAACATACCTTGTGCTGTTGACAACAAGATTAAAGTGTTCTCTCGCTGTCTGCTTCATCTGTATCTATTTCAATATGTTGCTTATTTTCATTTTTATGGTGCACTCTGACGTTGGAGATACACTCCTTAACCCAGCCAAAAAAACATGATGCTTTAGGTTTTTATATTGTACCACGTTGCCTACAAGTTTTCGAATGGTTGGATCGTCTGCTTTCCTTGTCCCTTTCTATTTTCTTTTTGTTCTTTTTTCGCGTATTGACTGCTAGACATATTTATTTATACCATTTCTTGATCTGTTACCAGCTGAAGGGTAACCACAAAGTTGAACATGAAGAGATAAAAAAGATCGTCACTTCCAGCAATATTAGCGCTCCAGCCTGTGTAGCCACAGCGATGACCACAATGGTTGTTGGGTATGTTCTTGCTGTTGATATTCAACTTTGGTTTTCTACTTCACTCTTATCCACTTTGATAGTACCGCTCTTTGAATTTATGTAATTCGTTTTATGACCTGGCATGATACTTACTTTCTAGATAAGGCTATAATGTCTTAAGGCTTAATTTAAGCTTAAATCCATGCATATGTTCTATACTTGGCATGACCGTGGTCCACATTGACCATCATGCATCAAATTGGTACTTGATTCATTGATCTATGTGGTTACTGGCTTAGGATGGGTAGATGTTGAAGGAGTACATTTACTATCAGGCTTGCTTTTGAGTTTTGAACCTTTTCCCACTACTCAGAACAGCATCAAGTATTATGACTTGAGTGTACACACTGCCGACCATTTTGGACTTTGGCATCATTGGGACTGGACCAGTTTGGACTTAAAGATCTTATTTTACTCTAAGATGTTGCCATGTATATAGTGATAGTTGAAATTCACTGGTCTGATGTTAAATTGCACATGCCATGCCATGCTTCAGCTTCCATTAGTGGTGGATATGGAACCATTTCCCACATGTGCTGCTGGTGGCAACTTAATTTCCACCACCATCGTATCTTGCAACCTAAGCAATTCCACTTTGCTCATGCATTGTCATTGGGGGATCTTTTATAATTCCAAGCTCCAATCATCTGATGAAAATTTACACGAGTAACAAATTACAGCCTGTCTATTCGCATCAACCTAAGTGTGTTATCTTGTGGAATTTCCAGGTACACGCTGGGATGGCGAGGCGGTGCTTGGTACGCTCGAAGGGCCTTCAGAAGAGAGCAACAAAAGATGATGATGGGTCACATGAAGTCACAAAACAGATGGCACTGGCGGCCCTTCAACAGACTCCAAAACAGTCTTAGGAACAGCAGGTTAGCCTCCAAGAACAAGAGCGCCGACACCCATCCGTCGGTGGGTCAAAGCAGCAAGTCTCCCTCAACCTCAAGCAGCAGGGCCTCTGCGAACCTTAGCGGTGCTTCTCAGCCGGCAGTGGGCAGTGCATGAGCTATATATGCATACTACATGGACTAGGATGTGAACTTGAGGGCGCGTAGTCCATACGTCTTGCTAGAACAGATCATGTGACTTGTAGGTACTCAGCTCGATCTGTGGTGGATCATTTTTGTAGCATATTAAGGTCATAATGCACCCAAATACATGCGTGAAACAATTGACTGACGATAGCCAGGGAACCTGTCTGCTGCTAGTGGTGTTCGGGTTGCACAATTCCCTTATGGCACGCTATTATAGAACTGAGACAGCTTTGTGGTGCCAGATTGTTTGAATTACCCATTGTACTAATATTGTCACATTACATCTTTTGTTTCTTTGTACCTGTGCTGCTGTGCATTAGAGAGTAGACCTTTACGTTCGAAGCTGGAACATATTTTACATCGCGTTTACAAACTTCTCATCTGAAGGGTCTAGCGTGCCGCACGCACGCCTGTGGGCTGTGGCAATGGCTACCACGGCCGTTGGTACGGTACGGTGATGGTCATATGTCTCACATCTCTACCATGCTTCGAGCTGGCATGTGCTTGTAAGTCGCAAAGTACATCCACTAGTGAGTAGTGAAAAAGACACCCACTAGAGTTGATTGAGTAGTGAAAAAGGAATGGAGCGCATCGCGCCACGGTTCGAAACTCAGCACTAGCTAGCGATCAATCAGGCGCTGCAGTCGGCACCGGCACATCCATCAATCAATCCTGTTAATTTTCTCCTCGTGGTCGCGAGCACTGCCGTGCCGAGCCGGACCTCGGCAGCTGCTCGCCGCGGTGCGCCGGTGCCGCCCCCCAGTCCCCCACGCAGCAAAAGCCGTCATCCCGTACCGTAGGCCGCGACAAGCACGGCAAACAGCTGCATCGCTGCTGACACCCACATTTCCACCTCCCAAAACCCACACGGAACCCCGGCACCCCTCCACTCCACCAGGCGCCAGCCAGCGTCATGGCGGTGGCCTCGACGTCGCCCCTGTCCGCCAAGCCCGCCACGGCCCGCCCGCCGCCCGCTCCCGTATTCGGCCTCCTCGCTCTCAGCTCCCGCCGCGGCCCGCGCCTCTGCCGCGCCACCGCGTGGTACGACGCGCCAACTCTAGCCCGGCTGATCCGTCTATCTCCCTCATACCGTACTCGTGTCGTTCTCCCGCAGTAACCCGGGCCTGCTGTGCAGGAGGAGGCTCCGCGTGGAGGCGATCAGGACGCAGAGGGAGAAGCAGGGGGCGGAGGTGGTCGTCGAGGAGTCCGCCCCCGCCAGGGCTGCCGCCGCGCCCCTGGACGGAGTCGGAGCGGACGACCCCATGGTTCCCTCCTCGGACGAGAGCTGGGTGGTCAGACTCGAGCAGTCGTTCAACATTTTCGCTACGGTGATTCTCGGCACAATTTGTCTCGATTTCTTCACCCCTGCAAAATCCTGTACGGCTGTACCCATACGTCTCGATGGTCTTACTTATGTGCTATCCCTTTCCGCAGGATTCGGTGATAATGGTACTCAAGGGCGTGTACGGTGATCGGTACTACGCCAGGTTCTTTGCGCTGGAGACGATTGCCAGGGTGCCGTATTTCGGTGAGTGCCCCGTTTTGTCATATGCTTGCAGTAGCCTGGAAAAGGTCCCTACTGAGTTTTGCAGCGGTTGGTTTCTGCCGTGCCGTTGTGGTGTGCATGCTCTGACTCTGCTTGGTTATGAACAGCGTTCATATCGGTGCTTCACTTGTATTCGACCTTTGGCTGGTGGAGACGAGCTGATTATATAAAGGTTCACTTTGCGCAGAGCTGGAACGAGTTCCATCACCTCTTGATCATGGAAGTATGTCTCCATCTTCCCTTTCCAGTAAAATCCATGTGTGCGACATCTACCTTTCAGTGCTATTATGTCAGAGTTCTACCACGACTTAATTCTATTCTGTTGGTTTGCCTATTTTGTTTTCCTTATTAATTATCACTTCAGTTTCTTTACATGAATTCAACCTACTTATGGATTCATCCCTTGGGCCTTGGCTTCATATCAGGAATTGGGTGGCAACTCTTTATGGATTGACTGTTTCCTTGCTCGGTTTATGGCGTTTTTTTACTACTTCGTGACTGTTGCGATGTACATGCTGAGCCCACGAATGGCATGTAAGTACTCTTACTTACTGATTGTGAAGTAAATGCTTGTTTTCTATTATCATGTTCTTTTGTGATGATAACGCTTGCACCCACGAATGGAGTACAGATCACTTTTCTGAATGTGTGGAGAGACATGCGTATTCCACCTATGACGAGTACCTCAAGCTCCATGAAGGTAAGGCTGGGCATGATTGTTGAACCTGCCTTAGGCCTCGTTCGTTTGGTCTGGTTTTGAGGGTGGATCTATTCCAGCTAATACATGTTAATACAAATAAGCCTACCATTCCGGTTGGAATAGTTCCAGGGCAACCAATCCAGAATAAACGAACGAGCCCTTAGTATTTTTAACCGTGTAAGGCAGTACGTGAGCCAGACAGCCAATGAGGGTCAAATCGTTTTAATTTTATGTCATCATGTTTCAAGATTTTCAGTTTCTAGTTCTTACGAACATCCAGAACCCTAAAATCATTTCTTACCATAAATTCCTATTCAAATATTTTACGTCTTAATAGTTTTGAAACCCACCATGTAATTACAGAAGCTGCTAATTCATTTTACCTGCACTTCCACTTCGATGATGTAAATTTTCTGTTTCCTTTGAACAGAGGAATTGAAAAGAATACCAGCTCCAGAGGCAGCATTAAACTATTACCTGAATGAAGACCTTTACTTATTCGGTACCCACTTATGTTCCTTAAAACTTTAAAGCTATACATCAACAGTTGATATCTATTCTAATTGATTGCATACCTTTTTTGCCCCTCAGATGAGTTTCAGGCATCAAGAAGTCCAGGTTCTAGGAGGCCTAAAATAGGTAAAACTTGCTGTTATATCTTTGTGCCCTCAATAGCCACCTATTACTTGTTTTATTTTTTACTTTTAAGGTTGGAACTAAACATGTTAGCTGTGCTTGTGGAATTAATTGGCTGCTCCATCATGGAGTCATACAAAATCTCGATTCTGTTTCCTTGTTTACTGGATTCTGGCCTCCTGATGTAAATTATTTGTAGTCGACCTTTCTATTTCTCTGCTGTAGGACTTGTAAATAATCACTGTTTCCCATATGCAGATAACTTATATGATGTATTCGTCAATATACGAGATGACGAGGCAGAGCACTGCAAGACAATGAAGGCCTGTCAAACACATGGAAATCTTCGTTCTCCTCACTCAACGCCGAACTGCTTAGAAGATGATACGGAATGTGTAATACCTGAAAACGATTGTGAAGGTATTGTGGACTGTGTCAAAAAGTCCCTTACAAAGTAAATAGACTATATTCTTTCGTGTGTTTTCAGGCATCGTAGTATACAAAGTACAAAATTTTGATAATATCCTCTCTTTTTCTATGTACCTTTTTAAGTAAAATCCGGGTCATATATCACAGAAGCCAGTTTAGATACAATTATGCAACAGAATCAAATATCTACTCCCTCCATTCCAACATTTCAACTTTCTTGGAGTTAAAAGGATCTCAAATTTGACCAAAATTATAAAGAGAATTACAAAAATTTATGACATCAAATAAGTATCCTATGATAATTAATAAAAAAGCTAATGATACTTATTTGGTAGATCATTATTATTTTTATAAATGTTATTATTTTATTGTAGAAATTTGGTCAAACAAACTTGAGATGCTTTGATTTAAAAAAAGGTTGAAATGACTTATCGTTTGAGATGAAGGGAGTAACGTTGAAGAGATGAGAATTCAGGCTGTGAAACATTGCCACATCGCTTGCTCAATGTGCTTTATAAAACTTGCATTCTTGTTGCATCGTAAACTTATCATAGATCAGTTGGTTAGGTTTCTTGTGGTGGCATCTACGCACCCGAGTTCAAGTTCTCGACTTGGCACGGGTGCTCGCATTTTTCTGGATTTATTCTAGGATTTAACGGCGCCATACTTTCAGTGGTAGGCGATGTCCCATTCGACAGCGATGCGTCAGTGGTGACTTCGTAAATCTCGAGATCTGCTGGCTCAGTCATTCGTAAGTGCTCATAGGGGTAGGTTTGTGTATGTGTGTTCATAGGGATGAGTGTACATACATGCTATAGGCGTCTACGTTGTACTATGTACTTCTCAAAAATAGGAACGTAGTGTCCAAAAGACATTACAGACAAATCCCATGATCAGGACGTAAGAGGCACCGTGCAATCCCTCACCAGTCACTACTAGAGCTTACGATAAAAACAGAGCATCCTGTGGAAGTTTACACCATAAAATGTCTTGCTATCAAACCAGTACAGTGTACATACAAATGTATATATTTACTTCGATAAACCATTACATAAGCTATTCACCTTTTTTAATACCACAGCGATTATTTTAGCGTTAAAATTATGTATATAAGCCTATCTAAGCATGAATAGAGGTGATGTATGTAGCACAGTAGAACAACATTTTTTATGCGGCAGGGCTAGCGCCCGGACATCCGGCCTCAGGCCCGCATCCGGACGCAGCTCCAACGCCTGCAACCACTTCACATCGGACGCCCCCCGTGTTCGCATCAGATCCCACGCCAGTGACCGCGTCCAACCATCCGCGACTCGATCCCCATCCTGGTTGCGCCCCCGGCGTCAAGCCCGCTGCGTTCCTTCCCTGCCGCCGCGCTCCTCCCCTCGCCACGGCGCCATCCCTGCCGCGCCCCCGTCCTCCTCCGCGCCCCTTCCCCCGTCCTAACGTCCCATCTCTTCTGCAACATCCGTTCGATCGTTGCAACATATGCAATATACTATTAAAACATACTTGTATAGTCATTGCAATATTTAGATGAAACACATGAAACATGCATATGAAACAGCTGAAACATTTGGAACATACATTTGCAACATACGTCTAAAACAAATGAAACATGTGGAAACATACACTTGAAACATACATGTGTAGCCATTGCAACATATGCAACATCAGATCCTTTTGCAACTTCAAGATGAAACACATGAAACATATCGATGAAACACATGAAACACACAGATGAAATGCGTGAAACATATACTTGCAACATACGTATATAGCTATTATAACATACGCAACATACAGATAAAACACTTGAAAACAATTTCTGAAACACACCTGAAACAAAACATGGCGCCGCCGGCAGCCATGGCCTACCTGGTGGGGAGCTACGGTAGCCAACAAGCGGCACTCGAGTGCAGTGGTGAGCGAGGATGGCTGCAGGCAACCGGCTGGGCGTGGTGAAGAACGCTGCGCGCAGAGCAGTCGTGGTGGACCACACCGCGTCGGCTCGAAGAACTCGGTGGCGAGTGGCGAGTGGCGGTGGGGAGACAGGAAAGCAGGCGGCGGGGCTCTGGCATGTAGTGGCGATGGTGCGGGCACAGAGAGTTGGTTCGAGAACGGATGGGGAAACACCAGCGATTCGAGAAGAAGGTGGGAGCGATGATTTTTTATTTTTATTTCCATGCGAATGGCAATGTTGCTGTGACAGAACCGCCCAATTTATATAAGATCAAGTATGACTGTCCCCGCTAACATGTTGACACGCGCATACTTTCACTTATATAAATCCGGTAGTCCGCCGAGTGTCCCGAAAGACCTCGGTAAATCAACATCACAACCAAGATCGCGTGATTAAGTAAATACACATCACATACACAGAGTTACAGCGGAAATAATATTACAATTGGGTTCACAAATAATAGTACAAGTTTGGGTTTTAAAACCGATTAGAGAAAACAACATAGCTTTCAAATGATTACATTAATATAAGTTCCAAATACATTGCTAGCATAAGTGACATCCTCTGATAAAAGCATATAGGTGAGAAGTAAATATAGAGTCACCGAGCCCACCGGACGGTTAGCCACCATCTTCCGTAGGCCAAGAACTTCACCTGCAACATGGTGGGATAAACCCTGAGTACTCGAATGTACTCAGCTAGACTTACCCATCTTAAACCAAAATAAAGCGACACCAAGGATTATGCAAGGCTTTCTTTAGTGGGCTAGCTGACTCATTTGCGAAAAGCATAAGCTATCATGAAGAAACCATTTTAAGTACTTTGCATCATCTTTATTATGACCTATCCATCTAGGTAAGCACCTATACTATAGTAGTCACTTAATTAACCAATAACATCCAGTTACCAACTTAGATTTAGCATATCCCATACCATTCAGATAACCATCAGTGTTCCATCATAATTACTACGATGCTGTAGCTCGAGTCAAGTGCTAACTATCCAGGAGCGATGGCGATTCGAATCGATTCCTAACCAGCTGGTGATTTATTCCTCACACAAACCACACTCACCGATCAAGTGAGCTACAGATCACCAATGACACTTTCCAAGTAGCCGTGGGATAACAGTCATGGACCGCACTACCCAGGGACCGCTCGACAGCCAGGACGCACCTTGGGCTCACTCTTTGTGTCCCCGTCATACCCCCTTCAGCACCAGTCTGCCAATCCGAGTTTATCCTGGCTCGAATAGTGTCATTAGCTTCGCGGTCGAAAGGTACTTTATTCGACCAGCTAAATGTGAGGCATGCGTTCAACATGACAAGAGGGACGAGCAACGATCGGTCCTTAATCGACACAGACGGAAAACTAACAGCACCCCAGAACCCTGTCTGGTTGCCTCCAACTTTTTCCCGTCCGGTCTCCATTTATTCCACATTACCAGGTTATGTTCCACGATAGCACAATATAGCCAACCGTGATCAAGTTATCACCTATAGCTCGCAGGTGACAGGAAATCACCCGACTTCTACCGGTCTAAGCAGAGCTAAGCATGATAAACGTTCCTGGACTTAAATAGGATTCATGGTAGATATTTCTGGTCAAGGAAGGTAATATGCAGCAAGTATTTCCAAACAACTCCTGTCATGTAATGCAGCAATACGAATAACTTTAAGTGACATTATTAAAATAGGGAGGCTTATAATGCTCCGGGGCTTGCCTAGGATCCAACACTAGGTTAGTGTTTGTTAGACGACACTCGCTTGGTGAGCATCTCTCATCCTAGCACTTGTCCAGTCCTTCCACCTTCGGGATAGGTCCACCATACACTGTCTTCGAGTTCTGCTCCAACATCACGTCCTTCACGTGGTTCATCTAGCGCACCTAGATGAGATGCAAGATGCAAGTGCATGAATATGGAGAATGTTAATACAAGATGCATCACATAAACATTCAAGACAAACATAAGATCATGCAAGACATAGACACCCATAGCTTTTTAACTAACATCACAAAACTAACTATAGTGAGCAAGCACATCAAGCATGACACAAGTTTAACAAGGTCACAAGTATCATAACTTGACCATCAACAAGGGCATAAGCCACACTTAGCAACACATGGAGTAAACAACCACAACTAGAATAGGTCTATTTCTGGACTGGAAACAATAGCTTCATGTTTGGATCATAACTAGAGTTATACAAATCCAATAGCCATGCAACAAGACATTCTGGAAAGCTTATGGAATTTTCTACAATTCATCTTTAATCATCTTAGCATGATTCTCAAGTTAACTAAGTCAAATATACCCATTTACAGAAACTGGTCCACAATTGATAGAGAGCAGCCATTTCTGAAACCCAACTTTAAACAGGCATAACTCACAAACCACAAGGCCAAATACCACAAAATTTTAACAGAAGCTAGATACATGAATTATCTACAACTTTTGTATAAACAAGTTTCACAACAAAGCACATTATCATGAAGAACTTTGCTAGGTTTCCAGATCTGTCCATAAACCACATCGGCAAGAAAATAATTATTAACTTATGTTGTAAACACATAATTGGGCAAAACCAACTTTACCAACATTTCACACATGACTAAAGAACACCAGAAAGCATGATGCTCACCTCTAAATAAATTTTCTTAAAGCATTTCTCAATTTATTTATACATCAAGGTGTATTTAAGAACATATACAAAAAATGCACAATAAATTCTACAAAAATTACAGTAGCTCACATATCCTCTCAATAGTCTACTGTACAAATTTCATACCATTTACATAAGTATAGCTGCCTCTATGAAAAAGACAATTTGCTATTGCAAGAAATCATGTGAGAGCGAGATAAACCAATAACTCACTCATACTTCATCCAATACTCATGAAATTTTCACCACACATCAACTATCACATGAGTAGAATGCCACAAAAATTTCACTTCATTTGGAGCCCTAGATCTACAGTTATGGAAAATAACAAATTCAACTAGCATTACAACCTTACTGCACAAATCCATTTTTATAGCTAAAACTTTAAACTAAAACATGCCATATTATAGATCTAGTGCATAGAGAATTTCATAAGGATTCCAAAAAATCATCATTTGCTATTTTACAATTTTTCTACGATTTACTATGAATTTCCAAAGTTCCAGCCGATTTAAAACAAATAGATCCAAAAGTCACTATTCATATGAGTCACAGACTATGCAGTGAGACCCTTCCATTTAGTCAAATTTGAGCCTAAGACCCCTGGTCGGAATTTAGAGCAGAGAAGCCTGCCGGGCTTGCTGTTGCCGACCGAAGGAGGCTCGTCGTCGGCGGAGAAGGGGCGGCGGAGCAAAAGGATACCCGCACGCACTTTTGGTGGTGGTCCTTGATGGCCCAGAGGCGGCCTGAGGTGGCCGACCACGTCTGCCGTGATCGGTCGAGGCGGCGATGACGGCCGTGTGGCTGTGGTGCTTCCAGCACGGTTTTGGACGGCGAGCATGAGCACGGAGTGTAGGAGAGGGAGGCGAAGATGATGGTTGTGCTCGTGAGGAGCGAGGGGGCTGACAGAGGGGAAAACGGCCACGGCACCGGCGAGCTCGGAGCTCGGCCACGGCGGCCATGATGCGGTCACGGTCAGAGAGTGAGAGCGAGTGGGAGGGGCAGGGAAAGAGTGAGGGAAGCCGAGAGGGGCTCGGCCTTTTCAACCACGCGGCGCGAGTGTTGGCGAGGTGGCGAGCGAGGGCGGCACAGAGGAACCAGGCGGCAGCGAAGTGCTGTGGCCGGTCGGCCGTGACGAGCTTCAGACGTTACAAAGACTGAAGGAACTAATACTACCGCAAAATTACGACTAAAACACAAACTTTGACTCCCTCAAACTCCCAAACTAACGCGAATTAGCGAAAACTACACTAATATAAGTTTCAGAGCTACATGAGGTCTCCAACTTTGCTTTAGGGGTTTTGGTCAAACTCGGATTATATTGGAAGATAGAGAGCTGCAAAGTAGGGCTCATGAAACTGAAAATTCAGTTTTCAGTTACTCAGACTTAGCAAATTTTTCGGACTCTGAAAACAATAGTAGATTCAAAGTTTGAGCCTCAGTTTGACTTAGTTCCAAGTTGATCTGGCTCTTGGTCCAAAAACAAAGTTTGTTCTACTCCACTCAAACTTCAACTTTTATTTAGGTTCCACTGCCATGCAAGCAATCTAAGTGACTGGTCAACATAGGTCAAATTGGCATCACGATAAAGCTTAAATAAGAGTTTTAGGCCAATTGGGGCATTTTCTTGATATCTGCTCGACATGAACCTTTCATAACTTATGTTGTAGAGTTCCTCTAGAGTTATTTGGGCAAGGTTGCAAGGTTCGTTTAATGACCAATGTTTCCATTCACTTAACAGTGCAATTCCAACAGAGATATGCTTATTATTTCATGTGACTTCTTGATTCCAAACTTCATGAAACTTTTCCATGGATCAATATAGATGGATATTGATGTGAGACACATGAAAGAAGTACATCCAATATTACTCAAGCATACTTTTTAGAAAGGGCAGCATGTAAGCAATGGTGCATGGTCCAAGTTTAAGTTGGAGCTCACTCTTGTAGATTTGATCTTGACACCTTCATCACCACTTAACATGCCATGTTTGAGCTCAAACCCATTGCTTAACTGGTGACAAACAACTGGGGTGTTACAGTTTCATGTTGGGTGTTCGGACGTCGAGGCCCACCAACGCACGTGCGGACGAAACACACGTCCTATCCACAGCATTACCTTTTTTCCCCTCACATCTTGCATACTGTCATATTTACATTCGCCCTGCGGAAGGACAAAGCAGTCACTAAACTGAAGCTACTGAAATGTTCATTCACAAGCAAACAGTATGATCAGTACAGAGCTTCAGGCATAGCCGCATAGGAAGTGAGCTCATGATCAGGACTTACCGCAGCTTTTCTGGATGCCATAATCTCTTCTACCGGAGGTCGACCTGTCGTAGTAGTAAAAAAGAGTGATAAAATTTGTTCACCCTAATGAGGAATATTCAATTCACATTTGCCTTAAATTTCATTAAAGTTGTGATCCAACTACGACAACTAATGCAAGCACACAATCATTCATAAGTCAACTATGTGCAAGTTCTTAGCCGCTATACCTGTAATTTGCATACGGTATTTTGCCCACACAACATGTACTGCATTTGCCATGGTAGCTACCTACAAAGTATTAGAAGATGAATGAAGAAGTACAGGTGTCAGCAAGAAGATAAAATCCACGCAGCAATGGTTATCTTCTAGGTGGAGCTGTGTGACCCAGACAGTACTTCCAGACGTCCAATTTTGGTCGGCCGGGGCAGGATAGCATGCGCAGCTGCCTGAGAGGCCGCGAAGCAAACACGCCGCAAACCGTCGTCCCGTAGCGTAGGCCGCGACAAGCACGGCAAACCCACCAGCCACGGCACTGCGAATATACCCCTCACTTCCCGCTCCCTCCGCTCCACCTTCACTCGCGCGCCGGCGCCGCTCACACCCCATTTCCACCTCCCAAAAGCCCAAAACCCACACGGGATCCCGGCACCCTTCCGCTCCACCAGGCACCACCGGTCATGGCGGTGGCCTCGGCCTCGCCCCTCTCCGCAGCGCCGTCCGCCAAGCCCGCCACGGCCCCCTCGCCTCCCGCTCCCGCGTCCGGGTTCCTCGCTCTCCGCGCCCGCAGCGGCGGCGCACCGCGCCTCCGCCCCGTCGCCGCTTGGTACGACGCGCCAACTCTAGCCCGCCTTCTCCTTCTATCTCCCCGACTCCCCCATGGCTCCATACCGTACTTGTGTTCTTCTCCCGCAATAACCCGAGCCTGTGCAGGAGGAGGCTTCGCGTGGAGGCGATCAGGACGCAGCAGGAGAAGCAGCGGACGGAGGTGCCCGTTGAGGATTCCGCCCCCGCCAGGGACGCCGCCGCGCCCCTGGACGGAGTCGGAATCGACGACCCCATGGTTCCTTCCTCGGACGAGGGCTGGGTGGTCAGGCTCGAGCAGTCGTTCAACATTTTCGCCACGGTGATTCAGTAGCCCCAGATTCTCGGCACAATTCGCCCCGATTTTTTCACCCCTGCAAAATCCTGTACCCATATATACGTCTCGATGGTCTTATGTGCTATTATTCCTTTCCGCAGGAATCGATGATTATGGTACTCGATGGCGTGTACCGTGATCGGAACTACGCCAGATTTTTTGTGCTCGAGACGATTGCCAGGGTGCCGTATTTCGGTGAGGGCTCCGTTTTGTCATATGCTTGCAGTTGCAGTAGCCTGAAAAAGGCCCCTACTGAGTTTTGCAGCGTTGGTTTCTGCCGTGCCGTTGTTTTGACACTGCTTGGTTTGGTTATGAACAGCGTTCATATCGGTGCTTCACATGTATGAAACCTTTGGTTGGTGGAGACGAGCCGATTATCTAAAGGTTCACTTTGCGCAGAGCTGGAACGAGTTCCATCACCTCTCGATCATGGAAGTACGCCTCTTTCCACTTAGTAGTAAAATCCATGTGTGCGAGATCTTCCTTTCAGTGTTATGTCAAAGTTCTACCGTGACTTACTTTTATTTCTGTTGTTTTGCCTAATTTGTTTTCCATAGTAATTATCAGTTCGTTTCTTTACATGAATTCAGCCTACTTATGGATTCAGCCCTTGGCTCATATCAGGAATTGGGTGGCGACGCTTTATGGATTGATTGTTTCCTTGCTCGGTTTATGGCGTTTTTTTACTACTTCATGACTGTTGCAATGTACATGGTGAGCCCACGAATGGCATGTAAGTACTCTTACGTACCGGTTGTGAAGTAAATGCTTGTTTTCTATTACCATGTTCTTTCGTGATGATAATACCTGCACCCACGAATGGAGTACAGATCACTTTTCTGAATGTGTGGAGAGACACGCGTATTCGACCTATGATAAGTTCCTCAAGCTCCATGAAGGTAAGGCTAACTTAATGGGCTTCTATTGTTTATTTATATGATTTCTGGTTGTTGAACCTGGCTTAGTATTTTTATCCATGTGATGTAAGGCAGTCAGCCAGTGTGGCTCAAATCGTTTTAATTTTATGCCATCATGTTTCAAGATTTTCAGTTTCTGGTTCTTATGATTTATGAACATCCAGAACCCTAAAATCATTTCTTACAATAAATTCTTATTCAGACATTTTATGTCTCAATAGTTTTGAAACCCACCTTGTGATTACAGAAGATGCTAGTTCGTTTTACCTGCACTTCCACTTCGATGATGTAAATTTTCTGGTTCCTTTCAACAGAGGAATTGAAAAGACTACCAGCTCCAGAGGCAGCATTAAACTATTACCTGAACGAGGACCTTTACTTATTTGGTATCCACTTATCTTTCTTAAATCTTAATGCTATACATCAACAGTTGATATCTATTCTAATTGCTTACATAACTTTTTTGCCCCTCAGATGAGTTTCAGTCAGCAAGAATTCCATGTTCTAGGAGGCCTAAAATAGGTAAAGTTGGTGTTATCTCTTTTGTCCCCTCAATAGCCGCCTATTCCTTGTTTTATTTTTTACCTTTTCAGAAGGTTGGAACTAAACATGTTAGCTGTGCTTGTGAAATTAATTGGCTGCTCCATCGTGGAGTCATAAAATCTCGATTTTGATTCCTTGTTTACTGGATTCTGGCCTACTGACGTGAATCATTTGTGGTCGACCTTTCTATTTCACTGCCATAAGAGATAAGACTATTGTAAGTACTCACTGATTCACTGATTCCCATATGCAGATAACTTATATGATGTATTCGTCAATATACGAGATGACGAGGCAGAGCACTGTAAGACAATGAAGGCCTGTCAAACACATGGAATTCGTTCTCCTCACTCAATGCCGAACTGCTTAGAAGCTGATTCGGAATGTGCAATACCTGAAGACGATTGTGAAGGTATTGTGGACTGTGTCAAAAGTCCCTTACAAAGTAAATAATATGTAAAATCCTCTTTCTTGTGTTTTCAGGCATCATAGTATACAAAGTACAAAATTTTGATGATATCCTCTCTTTTTTCTATGTAACTTTTTTTAAGTGAAATCCGGGCTATATATCACAGAAGTCAGTGTAGATACAATTATGCAACATAATCAAATATCTAACATTGAAGAGATGAGAATTCAGGCTGTGAAACATTGCCACATGGCTTGCCGGTCTGTCAATGTGATTTATAAAACGTTGAATTCTTGTTGCATCGTAAACTCACTAACGCAGTGTCCAAAAGGCATTATAAACAAATCCCATGATCAGGACATGAGGCACCGTGCAATCCCTCACCAGTCGCCAGAGCTTACGATAAAAACAGAACATTGCGTGGAAGTTTTCACCATAAAATGTCTTGCCGTCAAACCAGTACAGTGTACATACAGATGTATATATTTACTTCGATAAACCATTACATAAGCTATTCACCTTTTTTTTAATACCATTGCGGTTATTTTAGTGTTAAAACTATGTATATGAGCCAATCTTAGCATGAATAGAGGTGAGGTATGTAGCACAGTAGCCCAATGGGGGTGTTAGGTACAGCGCGGCAGCAGCGGCTGCAGTTGCAGCTTGGAGCTATTTTTCACTCAGATAATCACTGTTACAGCAGCGGCACTCAGATAATCCACTGTTACAGCAGCGGCAGTTGGCAGCAGCGGCGGTTTTTTAAGCTCACATCTTGCATACTTTGTCATCTTTACATTCGCCCTGCAGAAGGACAAAGTAGTCAGTAAACTGAAGCTACTAAAATATTCACTCACAAGCAACCAGTATGATCAGTACAGAGCTTCAGGCAGAGGAAGTGAGCTCATGACCAGAAGGACAACTTACTGCAGCTTTTCGGGATGCCATAATCTCTTCTAGTGGAGGTCGACCTGTCGTATAGTAGGAAAAGAGAGTGATTTGTTCACCCCCAACGCAGTATCAATGAACATATACATTCAATGTCATTAAAGTTTTGATCCAACTACCACAACAAATGGAAGCACACTGTCATAAGTCAACCATGTGCAAAGTACTTAGCAGCTATACCTGTAATTTGCATACGGTATTTCGCCCACACACCATATACTGCATTTGCCATGGTAGCTACCTGCAGAGTATTAGAAGATGAATAAAGAAGTACAGGTGTCAGTAAGAAGATAAAACTTCCGTTTAATCTCATCTGTAAGATGTTCTGCTTATATAAAATGCATGCGGCTGAATGGTGAGCCTATGAAGTGAATGGACCAAGCTGAGCCTATGTTTTGCTCTCTGTAAGTAGCGACTTACAGGCTCATACTTAGTAACAGCATAAACCCATCCAAGTCCTACTTCCTCGTACAGTTTTCTAAATGCCTGCGATGAAAACATAACAAATATTAGCATGAAACATACCTGATGCTTAGACTAAAAAGAATCAAATTCTGACTAGACATTTTATTTGTCTTGGTGCCACACTCATACTTTGTTAGGTTTGGCACTACATTTTGGAATGATTCTTTTGTAGCTTGGCCAAATTAACTTTGTTGACAGATCAGGATATTCTACATCAAGTTCTTTAGAAGATGATTTACTGTGGTTAGCAACACTACTGTAACAGTCTAGTGACCATAAGCTATGCATGTAACAGTGTCTTGAATCCTGTCAAGAAAACATTAGTATCTAAGCTTGCTAGGCACTAGAAGAGAACAATCTTAATTTTTGCTTGTACAAACTCATCTATGCATTAATACAGTTACACAGACTTGAGTGACCACAAGGAAAACAGATGTATTACAGTATTATGTAAAAGAAACATCTAGTCATTCATTATTAACATGCAACTCAATTGATCATTCCCTTCATTTGCTGCAAAAATGTTCAGACACTCGCCTAGTCTGATTTAACTATCCAACAGTTTATCTGGCACTAAGCCAGTAGCCCCTGCCTATTGGAAAGTTAAAATCCCAGACGACTTCGGTAGGACATGATGTTAATGTTCTACCTCAACATCTGTGACAACAGTTCCATCTGAAAGAATGGCATGTATCCTCCCCATGACCTGAAAATAGAAAGCATATTTATTTACTAGCAATTAAATAAACAAAGGCACATGATCTTTTAGCTCTTCCTGTATTCATCTCTCTGTCCGCAATACAAAATGCTAACTTTCAGTCTGGTCCCAGTAAATAAATTACTAATAAGAAGTCCTTGTATATTCCCCCAGAAAATGAATGGCAGGTACTGAGGAATCAAATAGCATTGTTAGCAATGAAGGGTGGTCATACACCAGGTTCTTGATGAGTTTTATATTTGTTTTTTTTTTACTTTTTGAGAAAGCATAGAAGCACGAATGCAAACAAGCTAGGAACCATCTGGAAGCAACTGAAGTATCAGAATAACAGTGCCCAGTACAAAATGACAGCCATGAAATATTCAAAACCGAATGTTTAAGCAAGGAAAAAAAGGTCATCATTCAATATTTTTTCAGTGGAACGTGCATGCCAAAAATTACTTGAGTTATCTGTGTGCCACTATGCTAATGAAAAGTAACTTTTACACAATAGCCTTTAGGAAACAAAACATGGCATTGCCAATTTCATTAACGAGGAATCAGAAACTGGGGGAACAAGAAAAGTGAAATAAAATTGAAATAATACGCACAGTTTCATAATCAAGGCCCTGATTGTCATCTGGAGAGTAATCTTTCGAGCTTATGTCAACAAACTTTATTGCTCCATAGGATTTGTTTCTTTCTCTTAGCATGTTTACCTGCACAGACATGAAAGTAAACGGAAATTTAGCTGCAGCGATATCCATATGATGGTCACCTATTGTTTCAACCATAAACAACATTATCAGTTAAGAAAATCCATCCAAGTTTGAATAAGTAAATACAAGTCAAATGGCATGTGCCTTTCATTAGATAGTGCTGCACATTGAGCTCTAACATGGCTAGCACTGGTATGGGGTCCTAAAATATATAGTAAAAGTTCATGGTGGAGAACTCCATGGTCTGCACCGAGTGCCTCTGAAAAGATGGGGTTCTGATGTCTCAGCTGAAGGTCTTAGATATATAAAGTAAAGTATATAGCTAGTGAAGGTTTCTGAGAGAAAAAATCGAATATCATGGGAAAAGTTAATCGGGAAGTATCTGCCCAGGCGTACAAACAGAAAGCAAAAGCATTTTTCAGAACATGAATATCACATGAGTTCATCAAGAATTTATCTACAGCATGGGATGGTTTATCCAGGCAATAATTCGTACTCTTCATTTATCACAGCCTCATGGCTCCCTACTCTCAGCTGTTGATTAGGAATCAAGATCAGCTAGCTGGAAATGGAACTCAAAGAACTAATAAAAGAGGAATCAACATATCATTACTTAAAATATTAAAGGTAATTGAATGGTGCCCCTGGGATACCAAATAGATGCAGAAGATCTAGTTTCCACAACCGGGTGAGAAAAAACTAGTGAAAGCAGTATGAATTACCCATACTGCCTGTTATACAATCAGCAATGCCATCAACTGGTGACATGTGCCCATTAGTTCAACGTGCTCATTAATCATTGCCTTATTGGAAAATGAGGCTATGTTCTTCCAGAAGCTGCATCGTAGAGTTCTAGCGCAACATACCTCACGCATACAGAGAGGGCAATCACCATCGTAGAGCATCTTGATCCTCCAAGTTTCAGATTTGCTACCATCCTTCAAGTCGGATGTAGGGGGTACTTTAACGTCGGAATGAACTTGGCATCTGCAAGCTGATGTACAATTCGTGCTTAATAACCTGAGATTGTACACTGTATAATAAAAGCACAAGCCTAACAGAACATTTCTGGTAGTTTGGTAGCCAAAAAATGCTACTAATCTGAGTTCATATCTCAAATTCTCATTATTACACTGCACCTGCAAACGAATTATCCCCCTAATGAGACAGAATGCAGTGAAATTCGTGAGATCAAAGGCACGCAGAATCACAAGTAACCTAGGTCCCCATCGCCATAACAACACCAACAGCCTGTACCTACTAGGTCCGATCGAACATCGATGCATCCGGCTTGATCACAAGAGGATTCATGAGTAAGCACGACGATCCACCCGATCCCCCTCCCTCATCACTAACAGCGAAATTGGTGAGTGCCTTGCTCTTTACCGTTCAGCGCGGCGCGGCGGGAGGCGCCGAGCGCCGCGGCGTCCCACCGCCCCAGTGGCACGGCTCGGGCCGCGGCGCGTGGGCGCGCGCGTGGCAGCGCCGCTCCCAGGCGGGCCAGCGAGCTCGCCATCGGCCTCTCCTTGTCTCCGTGAGCGGGTGGCGAGCGAGCGAGCGAGGAGGCCCTCGAGGCGCAGCGGTGGCCTCCGGTTCAAATGGGTTGGCTCCTGGTCGGCCTCGCTCCACCGCGACGCGACGACGTCATCCGCCTCTTTCCGCGCCGCCCGTCTCCCACGGGCTCCGCGGCCAGCTTCGTGGATTGCCGGGTAGCCAAACGATTTGTGTATAGTAGAAGCTCGTTTTTTTTTGTTTCCTTCTCAACTTTTAATTCGAAAAAGGTTAGGTAAAATTAACCCAAAGTGATGTAATCGTAAAATACCTCAATGTTCATGCGTTGCAACAGAAGCACGAGACACATAGTTTTTCAAAACTAACACTTTTACCCGTGCCTGTTTCACTGGCGTGGCGAAACGTCTGTGCCGCGCCATGCATGGTGGCGCGGTTAGAGGGATGACGTGGCGACGACCGGGGCACTGACCGATGACGTGGCAGGGTCTGTCGCGCCACCGCTCTTGGCGCGACGGTGACACGCCACCGCCCAGGGCGCGGCAGAGCCGGCTAAAGGTCGCGCGCCCGATCCGTCGCTCACGCCACCCGCCGCCCGCGCCGCGCGCGCCGCCCGCCGCCGCCGCGTAGCGCGCGCGCGCCGCCCATGCCTACCGCCTAGCCGCCCGCTTGCTTGCGCGCTGCCGCGCGCTGTCATCTGCCGCCGCCGATCGCGCCAGCGCGCCTGCCGCGTCGTTGCGCGCGCGCTGCGCGCACGCGCGCCGCCGCCGCCCGCTGCGCTTTGCCGCGACGCGCCGCCGGTCGCCACCCCTCCGTCCGCCCACCGCGCCCTCCGACCACGTACGGTGGCTGCCCGCCGCTCCCGCCGCCGCCCTCACTGCCGCGCCGCCCCCTCACTGCAGCGCCCGGGACTGCCGCTGCCGCCCTCACTCCTGCGCTGTACATCGCTCCCAACTGCCGCACACCCTTCTCTCTATCCCGTGTCCACCCGCTGCCGCCGCCGAGGCCAGCACCCGCGCCTCCCGGCCCGGTCTAGCGCGCCGCCGCCTCGAGGACGAGAGCACGCTGCTGCCGCGAGGATGAGTGCCGCCGCCGCCGCGAGGACGAGCGCCGCTGCCGCGAGGTACTCCCCTAGCGTATTTGTTGATTGAATCAACTTTGTTAGTATAATAAGTTAGTAAAATAAATAAAGTTAGTATAATTAGTAAAGTATAGTTAGTAAAGTTAGTTAGTTTAGTTAGTATATGCAATATAGTAAGTTAGTATAGATAGTAAAGTTAGTTAGTTTAGTTAGTACACTTAGTGAGTTTAGTTATATATTGTATTTAGTATAATTAGTTGTTGTAGTTAGCCTTATATAGATGTTAATATTAGATTAGTTAATATAGTTATAGTTAGAATATGTATTAATATTACCATAGACATTACGTACGATGATTTCGACGACTTGATGAAATTTCTTGAAATGCTTTTATAGATAGATTGTTGTGTTAGAGTTTTTTACGGGGGAAGTGTTAGGAGAAAAGATGATATATTTGAGGATATGGAAGAAGAATTGGAATGGTTTGATGAACCTTCTAGCTTCAACGACCTTTGTGTCCGTTTGAATGTAAAGTACGGTGATTTCACACTGAAGAGGAGGTTTGATACTGAAAAGACTAGGGCACGCTATGTCCTCATGCCCTTGCACGACCCTGCTCACTGATCCCGCTACACTAGGGTGCTCTAAGGTTCCAATATGCCCATGACTGAGGTGGTGGTGGAGAATGGGTACAGGATGCAGGGTGTCCTGGACGGGCCGTCCATTGACGGTGTTGGAGGCAATGAGCAAGAATTAGGGGGCAAAGGTGAAGCAGCCCAGGGTAACATGGATTTGGACGATCAGTTGACGCATGAGCAGTTTCATTTAAGTTTAGTAGGCTGTATAAGCAATGATTTCGATGTGAACGAGTTCGAACTGGAAGAGGAGGACAGGATCGATGATGTAGTTAGCAGTGATTCAGACGATTCAGATGATGACCAGGGAGATAGACATGCCCATTGATGGTGTTGGATAGCTATGCCCACACCGGTTGATGCCATGCCAGTACCTGTTCATGGTATGCCATTACTAGTACCAACTGAGGTTTTGCATGCTATCCAGGCTCAGGGTAGACTAGTCATAGATTTGCCAGCAGATGATACCCCATATGATTCATGGGGCAGAATTAGCGAACAACCACTCCTTGAAACGACACTTCGTCATTGAAAACACCTAAATAAGGTGACATTAGTACATGAACACATATAGCTCAACATTTCAACACATACACTTTGCACTTACTTCATGCTTGTTTGGACACATAAACTTCAACGTATTCTCAGGGTTTATCACAGCTCGATCTTCGCAATCGCACAGAGGAGGTTCCTCGAGTCGTCTAACTATGGCTAAGTGCTTCTGCTTAGCCGTCATTGGAGGGGGGTTACGGGGAGGTGGAACCCACCGCTCGAAGTGCTCTCGTGGATGTCGCCCTCTCCATCAATCGTTGAAAAGAAGGTACCTGGGGTCAAACTTGTCTGCACCGTCAATCCACTGAAAGAAAAAGCACATCTCATGGGCCTACACAATAAAATTCCAACAAAACATTAGTAACCTAGTAATACAAATGAAGAAAAAAAACATACGGAAACAATTACTTACATTAAAACGACTGCATGTGTAGAAGCAACGAGCCACTGTGCCCGGATGTCTCGATTGAAACACGTCGGCCGAACAACCACAATCACAGTTAGGGACAGGGAGGTCAGGAGGGACGAGGACATCTTTGCTAGACTCGTCGGGATACAATTCTCTAGGACGACCCCGTTTTTGCCACAACTGCTCCCGAAACATGCATTCCATCTAATAAAACGGTTCAAATTAAACATCAATCAAAACAGCGCAAATTAATGTAAAATATAATCATTTGCATTGTAACTCAAATAATATAACCAAAACTTATAGCAACAAAAATATACATGGTAAACATACCTCTAACTAAATAATTAACCTTAATATTGACAAAATCAAACTAATGTCTTCCTTCAAACCATAGCCCATAGTTTCCAAACATAATTTTTCTCCTAACCTTAACTCCCATTCATAATATTTCAATCCATCATTCAAATAAAAATAAAAAGTGCGTCATTACCTTGAACGAGACCGAGGAATGAGGGAGGCGGCCTGGGAATGGAAGGCAAGGGAGGGAGGGAGGCGGCAATGGAGGGCGTGGCGCAGAAGTCGTCGACCGTGTTAAGGCAGACAGAGGGAGGGTAGCTCGCGGGCGATATTTACCTGGGACTGCCGCGCTGTAAGGGATGGCGCAGCGGCGCCGCGCCTAGATTCATGGCACGGCAGACCCTGCCACATCACCGGTCAGCACCCTGGTCGTCACCACATCATCCCTCTCGCCACGCCACCGTGCATGGCGCGGCACAGGCGTTTCGCCGCGCCAGGGAAATAGACGCGGACAAAAGTGTTAGTTTTGGAAAAAAAAATAAAATAGTGTTAGATTTAAAATTAGTTTATAAAAAGTGTTAAAAATAAAAAAATTCACCTGGGCCTAAGCTGTGCACCCGCACTGGGCCACGTAGGGCTGCTGGCCTGCTAAGGCTTGGCTCAATCTGAGCCATCTAATCCCATCCGATGGCCGAGGACACGCCTGTGCGGAACAAAACTTTTGGCTCCCCCAAACCCTAGCTCATTTCTTTTCTTCTCCCTTCGTGTTTCTCGCACCAGTCGCCAGAGAGAGGAGCACTGGCGTGGGTGGTTGCCGCTGGCTTCGGGATGCATGGGGCTGGACTAAGGGGAGTCACCGGTGGGAGACCGCACGGCGGGCTAAGACGCACCGCCGCCAGGCCGCTCGCTGGAGCTTGCGTGTAGCGGAGGCCACGAGCGGCCCCGTCGAGCCACCCTACAGTGACGCTCAGGCCTCCCGATGGTCTGGAGTGGTGAGGCCAGGCACTCCGACGGCCGCGTGGCCCGCGTCCCTGGTGGCCGCACGTGCGGCTTCGTCGAGCCGCCCTGCAGTGCCACTCAGGCGTTCCGGCGTTCGCGAGCGGCAAGCCCAGGCGTCTCGACGGCCACGTGGCCCGCGTCCCTACTGGCTTCACGCCCCCACAGATCCATGCTAGCTCGCGTGCAGCGGTGGCCGCACGTGGGTCCGTCTAGCTGCCCTGCAATGGCAATCAGGCATCTCGACGGTCGCAAGCGGGGAGCCCAAGCGCCTCGGCGACCGCGTGGCCTGTGTCGCTGGTGGCCGCACGGGTGGGAGCCGCCCTGCAGTGGCGCTCAAGCGTCCTGGTGGTCGCAAGCGGCCAGGTGCGTGGATCAACGGCCGGTTAGCCTGTAACACCCCTGGTGTTACGAGCTTGCTTAGCACCGAGATTTAGGTTCGAGAGGAATTAGCCAAACAAGTTTTCGGGTTTTAAAAAATTATAATGCACGTGAAATGATAAACAATTCTCTGTGACTCTCTTTTGTGGTTAAAAATCAACATAAATTGTGTTAACTAGTGTTCTTGGGAGCTCAAAAATCAAATTTGTTGTTCAGATAAGCTCTTTTCGTTAAGTCGGCAAGCACTTGAACTATTGTGTAAAATACCATTTTTGGCGAATTATATTGAGCAAAATAGCTAAATGGTGCTTAAATATTTTGCTCCTATGGGTTAGTATCTGGTATGGACTATTGCATGAAATACTTGTTGGTAACAGTTAATAGGGTTTAGGCCTTTTAAAAATTATAACAAAAGTGTTAATGGACTGTTAGTTCGAATTAAACCTTAACTTTTCTAAGTATAGGAAAAGTAGTAAGACAATGCTATCTTGACATTTAAATTCTAGCTAAAATGTTTAAACACTAGCTGCATGCTTTGGTATTTGGATTGCATCAAAGTGAGTACTTGAATATGGCATAGGTGGTTGTTATGTTGGGTGTCACGTGGCTCTCGTAAAAATTCCCCAAACTTCGTTGGAACGCGCTGTAAACCA